GGGCATCACTACAGCGGCATCGCGCAACGCTCACCGCTCGAGCGGTGTCAATGTGAACGCGCACTTAGAGTGTTGTTAGACTGTTGTTTTATTTATCAGTGGAAAGAAAACAATTATTTGATTACCCAGCTTGACGTAAAGTGCGCTTTTCTGAACGGTGATTCGCTAGGAAGAGTTTCTATGGAAATACCTGAAGTACTGGAATGTGAAAACTTGGACTCAAACTGTAAGTACGTTTGTCAGTTGCAAAAATCACTTTACGGTTTGCGAGAAGCACCAAAATGATGGCACAATAAGTTACAAAACTTTCTAGTAACCTTGAATTTTCAAAGATCAACATTCGAACTGTGCTTATATTTTGACTCTGATATAATATTGGTGGTGCATGTTGATGACATAGTTTTATTTTGTGAATTTGATTCGAAAATTGTCTTTTTCAAGAATAAGATCATGAAAAAATTCCAAATGACAGATCTGTCACCAAAATCACAAGAAAAGTTTTTTGCAAAATTCTTGGGCTTAACAATTCAGAAAACAGAAACTTGTTTATTCATAAATCAAAAATAATTGATTTAGAAAATTTTGTTTAAATTCGATATGTCAGATTGCAAAGTGCAAAAATTGAAATTGAAAAGTTGTGGAGGGCAAGAATCAAAAATCCCTTGACGTGAATCAATAGGATGTTTGATGTATATCATGATAGGAACTAGACCAGACGTGCTATAGAATTTCATATTTGAGCCAATTTCAAAATGGTTTTTTCTCAGAACATTATAAATATTTGTAACATATTTTGCGCTATTTGAAGAATGCAGAAAATTATGGCCTGAAATATGAAAAATCACAAGAAAATAGTGAAAGTCTAATTACTGCTTACGTAGATGCAGATTTTGAAAATTCTATTGAAGATAGAAAAAACATCTCGGGTTTTTCAATAAAGGGTTATGATAATTTTGTTTATTGGAAATCCAGGAAACAGTCAACTGTTTCTCGCAGCAGTGCAGAGGCAGAGTATGTTGCACTTTCTGATTGTTCAGCGGATTGCATTTTTTTGCGAAACTGTTGAGTGAAATTCAAATATTTTATGACAACCAATCCTGATGCATAAAGATGGCCAATACTTTGGAAACTAAACGAACGAAGCATATCGATGTAAGACATCACTTTGTTCGGGATTGTGTAAGCCAAAGGAAAGTTAATTTGAAATTTATAAGTACTTCAGAACAAATATAGCTGATATCTTTACCAAAGCTGTGAAACTGAAGTATTTTAAAGATAAATTTAGGGTAAGAGTTTAATAAAGTTTTTTCTCAAGTTTGCCGAGTTGTATATTTTACTTAAGTTTGCTGACATGCCGACTTGTATTTTTACTTAAGTTTTGCTGATATGTATTGGCACTTTAGTTTTATTGACATGTATTTCCTTTATGTTTGCTTAATTGAAGTCCTACACACGTAGATATATTAGTGTTAAAGTTAGGGTGATTTCGGCAAACTTGAAGAGAAGCCTGAAAATGTCGTACATGCTTAATCAAGTTTCATTGTCACCCTGGAATTCACCAGACGTTTATGAAGATTTTGAAAAATATCAGATAGTTTAGCACAATTCAATAAAACCTCATAAGCCCTCTAATCGGGGAAAACCTTAAAGAAATTTGCCATCCGCGGCAAGAATTTTTAACAACGTCTAGTCGACTAAAATGAAAATTTATTAAGCCCTCCCTATAAATCTCGTTTAAAACTAAAACGAACCGTTAATTGCATCCCGAATAGACAACCGAAAAGTTTTCGGAGCTCCAGGTGGGTGTTGGCGGTTTATCTTCTCGGGCAATTCTTAAGACGTTTTCCAGCCTTTTAATGAGTGACTTTTAAAAACTGATAAGAAATTTCCAACAATGTTTTGGTAAAATTTAACCATCAGGTAAGACAGACCTTGAAGTCGGGATGATTATTGTGAGGTTGGAGTTTACACATTCACGATTGATGGTTGTTACAAATCCGTTCAATATCAGCTTGTGTTTGGGTTTTTATTCCATTTGCTATATGAACTATTATCTTCACAAACAAATTCGAGATAAAGCATTCGTTATTCAAATTCCTAAAACATGACGATTTTCATTTACATTGTTGGTAATCTTTTTAAAAACTAACTAGCAAGAAGGAAATATCTTTAGAGTCAATTTAGCATTTGCACATTCTTGCCAAACAATTTTCGCTGATGGTAATAAATTGCTACATTCCCGAAAAGGCTGACTCGACTCGACTGTAGGAATAGTAGTAGGCTAAGCAACAAACGTCGCTTTGTGATTAATCGCTTGCATTCCGACCTCATAAATAAACGGCGCGCTTTAAGTTAATCGGCTTTACGGAAGTTTCTATTTAATAGATGGCGACGATGGCGCTACATCTTGTTTCGAGTACTGAATTACTGCTTGGAAGGAAATCCAGCTTTACAACTAAGCTTACAATTGAACTATACCCATATTTCGTATTGTTATCAGAAAAAATAAAATGGACAGGGTTAGATTGATTTGCTGCAGATCCAAATTTTTCTAAATAGGAATGAACAAGCACAAAATTTTCCGTCGAAAGTCGAAACTGAGAGAAACCCTTTTCAAGAAATCGTGTCCAGGAAATACAATGACTGACTGATAAGGGCTTCTGGTTTCATGTACCTGGAGATGGAGATCTAGCAGATCTTCCATCAAGAGGTTGCTTTGAAAAGAAGGTTGCCTTATGGAAGATGGTGGGAGGGTCCTTTGTAACTTCAGAAACCAGTTAGCGAGTGGTTTGATCAAAAAGATCAATTTGATGAAGATTTGGTAAATGAAGAGAAGAGAAAGAAGGTAAATTCGTCGCTTCCGGTACGAACAAAAAATATCACTTGCTACTCCACATGTTTTTCAAGTTTCAATAAGATTGTTCGGTTCATTGAATGAGATTTGTTTCCTGATAAGTTAAACTGATTGTTCAATCCAATATGTGATTAGTTTTTGTGTCCTAAGAAGCATTCACAAGTCAGTTGAATAAATGTTATTTTTTCCATAGCTACTGGTAAAGTAGCCTTTAATCTACTGAAAATAGTAGATAAAGTAGCACTTTAACCGCAAGGGTAGATTAAACTTAGATACTTTAACAGCAAGGATACATAATAGTAGATTATACCACGAGTCAATAATGATAGCTATTATTCCCGAGGTATATTTACGAACTGAGCCGCGTTAGCGGCGAGGGAGTAACATTCCGAGGGAATAATAGCCATTATTGCGAGTAGTATACTCTACTTTATTTATGACAAATTAATTTATTTGAAATTTTCTTTCCAAAAACGCTCTTTGTTTATCCATCTCAATACAAATACACAAGCACTACGCGTTTGACACTGACACTGAATTTGTTCTATACTGTTTCCATGGTACTACCTACTTATTTAATTCGAAAAATTTTGTGATTGGTGTGCAAGCGGGATTAATGACCATTAATCCCTGCGGGAATAATAGATGTCATTAAACTGCCAAAATCATAAATATAATACTTACATTATATGTCAGTCGTAAATAAAGACGTTTATTTTGTCAAAAATATATACATATTTTGTTTTTTATTTATTTGTCAAAGTTTGTCAAACGAATTTGAGACGACCGCGTTTTTCCTACCCCAATCGAGTTATGTGTCGACACTATTATCAATATACAGGGTGATTCAAAAGTAAGCGGCATCCTTTTGGGGACGTATTCCTTGCATAAAAATAAGACAAAAAGTTCCTATTAACATGGGTCCGGAAATGCTTCCTAAGAGAGTTACGCCCCTTCGAATAGGACAACCTGAAAGACGTTTTTTTTTCTCTATAACTTTGAAACCCTTCACAAATGGTTTTTGAAAATTGGTGTATTTTATAAGCATTTGATGGCAATTAAGATACTAAATGAAAAGTTCAAAAATTTTAATCAGTGGCGTCACATACTGGGGAGGGTGAGGGTTAAAACATCCCTATTTTTTTTACTCGTCAGGTTTTTGCGATTCTGATTGAAAATTCAGAAAGTTTACAGTTTTTTACACAGAAAAGGTACTCTTGGTTCAATTCGATACAGCGTATGTGACACTGATTAACATTTTTGAATTTTCAATTCTTAATTGCCATCAAATGTTTATAAAATACACCAATTTTCAAAATCCATTTGTGAAGGGTTTCAAAGTTATACAGAAAAACACGTCTTTCAGGTGTCCTATACGAAGGGGCGTAGCTCCCTTAGGAAGCATTTCCGGACCCATGTTAATAGGAACTTTTTGTCTTATTTTTATGCAAGGAATACGCCCCCGAAAGGATGCCGCTTACTTTTGAATCACCCTGTATAGTATTATGTGCATCTATTAACCTGTATTCCTGCCTGAGAGCAAATGCTGCCGGAAATATCTTTTAACAAATTATTAGCAAATTGAAAAAAACGTAACACTACCCCCATCGAGTTATGCCCTAAGAAGGGGAAGAAAACAGGCCACAACTTTAGGAGAAAACCTTTATTTACCTGTATTTTATTTATTTTTTAGAGTTTGTTAGTGTTAAAATAAAAGTTCAAGTTTATTCTTCTTATATTTCTTATTGTGAGGGTGCGTCTGTGAACAGTCAGTTTTTCTGAATATCCGCTATCACTGGGTGTTTTGGAGTTTTATCAGTTCGGCTAATACGTCATCAAAAGGAAATATTTATTAGTGAAATTAAGGAAAAATTGTAAGTAGGTACCTATCTACAAAATTAAGACTTTAGTATTCACCCATTTATTGCAATGACTGTGATGTAAAGTAAAATTAATTTGGAACAATACTGCAATTCAATTGACTTTAAGTCAAATTACTATCGAATATTTTTGCTAAGAGTATATTGAGGGGAATATGACTATTGACTAATATTATTATGAATTTGTGGAACATTTTGAAGTGAAATTTACTGTTGTATATTTTGGGCTCTGATATCACAAAATACAAAATATTTGTGTTACTTACGCATTAATAGGTAGCTGTTGTCCCTCCCTCTCCCAACTAATAGTCTCAATAGGATACCCAGCTACTGGGCATTTGACTATCAGGGACGTACCAGCCACTCCGATAACTTTTGGCATTTCTCTGATAAACGGCAGTCCGTAAACATTCACTCTAGCACTGTGAGTCACTTTGCCCACGCTATTGTGAGCTGTACAAGAATATTCACCTCCATCTTCTGCTTTGACGTTGGTAATGTTTACGTGAGAGATGACGTCGTCCTGGATGGTGACATATTGGCCTTAAAATAGTAACCATATTAGATAATGTCATCACAAGAAAATCGAAACTCACCAACTAAAAATCTAGAATGGTCTGGAATGGGAAAGCCATCTAATGCCCAAGTGAACTGGGGTGGAGGGTTCCCAGACGCTACACATTTCAATGATACAGTCGGGCCTGGTTGTAAAGTTTGTTCTGCGAACCTGAAACATTAACTTTAGAAAATCCAAGATATGTTTTTAGTACTTAAACCAACCAATAAATAAGTTCTGGCCCGGCATCACCCATATTCAGTTCAGCAGTTGCTTGCGCCTGATCCCAATTATTATTAACGAAACATTGATACATTCCTCGATCGTCTTTTGTTAATTGTCTAATTGTTAATCTGGGTGGTTCGTTTTGGACTTCAACTCTGTTGTCAGTTGCGATAGGTTTACCTAAAAGTACATACTTTTGTAAACATAATGCAAAAGCATATTTCAAATTTAAGTTAACATTTCTATCAGCAGCATACATCCTGCAGAGTTAAATTTAATTCATTCGACATTTCAACTTGAGGCTTGATATCTTATTTAATATCGCTCACAGCTACAGCAGAATTGTCTGCATTTTGAACGTTCAAATATTAATATCCGGTTCGATTGGAATTTTATTCCGCCGGGACTCGCTATGGCGAATATAACTCCAGGAAAAATACATTATTATGTAGCTGGAAGCACATGCAGCTTACCATTGTGCATCCAATTCACTTGAGATACGGGATTTCCATTAACGACGCATTGGAAACTGGCATCTTTGCCAACGTCTACCACCAACATTTGGGGCTGGACATGAGCTGATAGGGGCGAAGTTACTTCAAGAGTCACTCTTACACTTTCCTCTCCTGCAGAGTTGTTTGCAAAGCATACGTAAACGCCTTTGTCTTCCAAACGGACCTGTAACAATATGACAATGTTGAAACTATGAAGAATTTTTTTCAAAACTTCCAAAAATCGATTTAGTAGGGTTCTGCAGGGTCTAATTTATTTCAACCAAAAAAAAAATCCAAAAACAAAATTCTTTTAATTACGTCGAAAAAAATCCAAAATGTTTTTGGCCTCACGCGAAGCTTTTAATTAAAAATACCGCATGCACAAAGGATATACGTTTAGTTGAGGTTCTACCGGTTATTTATTTGCGTTCAAAGAGCCCGAAAAAATGTTCGCTTTACGACAGCCTCTCCGAAATTAAATTATAGTTTTCCGACGACCCAATTAACATGTTTAACCCAATTAAAAGTTTACAGGAAGTTGCATCCGCGTATTTATTTTTTTTCGGCGAATTTTTAGGAAATTTCTATGCACTATTCATGAATATACATTGTGAAAAGTGCGCTAATGTACTCCAACTTTGACTGGATTCAAAAAGAATGGCTCGTTAGCACGTCGCATCTGAACACAAACACAAAGAGGAATAAGTCCATTGGATTTCACAGGGTAAATATTAACCAGAACTGTGTTGCCTTATTTGCAGTGTTGTCCAGCAATAAGCTCTGACTATGATAAATTTTCATATCAGTACCCACATGGATTAGAATACATTAAATTGAGATAGTGATCCAGCTGCTACTATACTTTGGAAAGTCACAGTTATTGTTTTGTCCAATTAAAGGGAGTGTGACCCAAAAATGAAAGTTTAAGTCGAAAAAAATCTAAGAATAAATATTTAAACCGCATTTTGCTATGCTGGTCTGTTTTCGAGTTAGGGCGGTTTAAAGCTACATTTAGGTGTTTGTGACGTCAAACCGGATTATCAGGCACAATATTAACACGTGTGAAAATTTTCCGAAACAAAAGACAATTATCTCACAAGAGCGAATTGAAACCACTTAAAGTATAGGGTACGGTTCACTGACGACTTAACGAACACAAGACTGCGATTTCGACGGTTGTGACATCACAAGTTCCTGCATCTTCACAAGGAATTTTCTCGGAGACTATTTTGAATGTAGGACTGCGGTTTTCACGAGAGATCTTAGAATTTTTTTCTTGATTTAAGTAGCTTAAGTCATTTTTCAAGGTCACACCCCCTTTAGGGGCAGTAAAAGCACTTTCCACATGTGTTAGGCACAAAATTTTGTTGACTGTTGAGAACTCAGATGGGCTTCAGGTCTGCAGCTTTCAGTTGGAATTTAAGGGTCTTGGCCTCATCTTTTTCTTTTAGGGAGAAGATTTTGGTTTTGGTTTTGTCACTGTTCAAACAAAGGTTGAGCAGTGCTGTAATAAAGGTCAAGGAGGGTTGTATCACTTGCGTACTGTATTGTTTTCAATTCTGAAAAAATAGATTCACATAAGGAATGAACAGTATGGGTCCCTGTGGTACCCCTTCAATAAGAGGAAGCACCGCCTATCATGAAGATGCACGACCATAACCGACTCACCCTCCTCGAAGCATCCAACTATACCGGGTGTTTTTCAAAACCCGCTCACCCCAATAACTTTTTTATTTTTCCAAATAAACAAATGAAATTTGGTATGTTCATCTATGACCCGGATGTGCATTATTTGACGTATTCAATTATTTATTATCACTTCCGGTCTGACCGGAACTAACTTTCCTAACTTTCTTATTTCAAATGAGACGCCAGGTATATTTTCCCTTATTTCAATAGAAAACTACATTACGATTATAATGACACCTCATTTGTCACTTTTCGACATTTCATCTCCAAATTATTTAAATTTTTACTTTCTAATCTAGAGCGCCATGAATTAGTTAAAATGCTTAATTTTGCTCCAAGGAACGTAGGAAAATTTGTTTTGATCATTCAAAGATAGTAGAAGCGCAATTTTGGAATTATATCAGCTTTTTTAAAAGGAAAGGGTATGGCTCATTAGCATATTCCGAGAGAGCATTTTCTAACGAACACTTTAGTACCAAACAATCGCTAGTTTATTGATTATTCAAATATTGAACTAAAATTTTCCAAAAATATTTAGAATGCTAGGAAAATTCTTTATTTGATCGATGAACTAGCGATTGTATGGTACTGAATTGCTCATTAGAAAAGTCTCTTTTGGAATATTGTAATGAGCCACACCCTTTTCATTTGAAAAAATTGAGATAATTACAAAAATGCGCTTCTACTATCTTTGAATGATCAAAACAAATTTTCCCAGGTTCCTTGGAGCAAAATTGAGCATTTTAACTAATTCATGGCGCTCTAGATTAAAAAGTAAAAAATTAAATAATTTGAAGATGAAATGTCAAAAAGTGACAAATGGGATGTCATTTGTACTCGTAAAGTAGTTTTCTATTGAAATGAGGAAAAATATACCTGACGTCTCATTTAAAATAAGAAAGTTCTGGTCACTTCCAGAGAGGGGGTCAATTTTTGACAATATACGTTAAGTTGCGTATTCGAAGATTTGCGAACAAAAATAAACGTATACGTATCTATAAACCCATTTTTGACCGGTGTGCGTAAATGGATAAACGTAGATATTGCGAATTCGTAAACATACGTATAATTGATTTGGCAACGTCGGAAATTTTAGAATGTTTGACAAATTTTTGACGTGTTTTTGCTTTTTTGAATATTTGACGAATTGTGGATGTTTACGATAGTGGTAAATTATGGAAGAAAGCCAGTGACAAAAACTAAAAGAAAAGGGGTGCGAATGCCAGTGAAAAGCAAAAGAAACTTGTGAAATATGTGAAAAGCAAGCTACAGCTAATCCGGTTGATAGCTACGGCTTGCGAAAAATTTCAACGCGTAATTAAGACCCATGAGTAGTACCGCATTAAACTAACTGTATAACAAACATTGCAAAACAACCTTCTAAATAAAATTCATTTCCTACTTAAGTCAAGACATCTAAATCTGTTGGTCGTTGTGCCAGACATGTATGAGGTTCTAAACATTCAACCAAATAACTAACAAGCTCTTTCGACAATCAGAACATATTAATAGGGTGTTTATTTGTAATTTGCTTTTCCTGCTTCAAGCAGATCTCAGCAGCAGATCAGCGTTCACCTGTCTCATATAAGCTCATAAATAGCAGCTCCTAGCAGATCTTCCTAATTTTTCGAGCAGGTAGAACAAGCAACACCCTTTAATAAACTGTCTTTGGGCCGATTTCTCAATAGCAAGTCATCCCTGGGTTAAGCATAACTCCAGGGTGAACATTGCAACTGGACACGTTTAACCTGGAGTTAAAACCAACCTGGAGGTGACTCGCTATTGAGAAATAGGCCCTTTGGTTTAGCTCTACGAATGGATCACGAAGGTTATGTCGATGGTTGCGTCGATTTCGTATCTCTCCGTTTTCCAAATAATGAATTGCCAGCACATTCATCAAAATTTCCATATTATAGTCGATACACCTTGTAATCAAGAAGACAAGACGATAGAGCACATTCTCTGTGACTGCACTGCTCTTTCGCCAATACTCAGAGCCAGATTAGGCCAATCGTACCAATCACTAGAAGAGATCTGAGGCACCGCCTTCAGCGACGTAGTCGTCTACGTAGAATCGCTAGGCTGGGTGACGAGCTAATGATGACCTCTCCTCTTGTGGAGTGTGGAGGCGCACAATGAGCATAATTGTGGCCTAAGTGTTGTAGCATACCTTATATACCACCCTCCCAGATACAGAGGTAGTAGATACACAATAATTCAATAATAAAAGCTATCAAACAAATTGACAAGAAAAAACAACCTAACATCCCCACTTAACACAAGAAAACCGAATACGCAAACCGAATTAGGCGACTAGAATACCGCTCGCAGAAAAGCGAATGAAAATATGCGCATACGAAACTTTGCGAACGGCCAAAAATCGGAACTTGTGACTGTTCGCAGATTTAGGAACAATCTACTGACGTTTCTATATTTGCGAACGGTTAAAAATTGGCCCCCAGTGAAACATGTATCGCCATTTATCGATATAGTGGGTATCAAGCTTAGGTCTGAGCGAATTAGTTTGTATATTTTATTAGTATAGATATGTGCCTCCTGGGTTGGGTGTGGAGGAATTTAGGCGTTTTTTTGAGTATTTATCTTCATTTGAGCCTATGAATAGTTCAGATACCCTTCTGCTGGTAGATTTTATTGTATCGAGTATTCGGATTATTTAAGAAGCAGTCGACAAAATAAATAGTTATGTTGGGATTCTAACCGATTTTATGAATTTGGTATTGTTTGGTCGGCAGTGTGCAGTCAGCAAATCAGAGGTCTGGCTAACCAAAGTGGATGATCACCACCCATCATTGTCTGTGACATTTGTGTATAATAAAAGTAATAATTTAAGTCGGAGATATTCCAAAAAAGAAATATAATATTATGTACAACTTCAAAAAGGCGAATTTTCGGCTCCTTATGGCATGCTTCTTGATGTTGAATGGGCTTTTCTTGATGACATAAATGATATTGATGAATGTTGCAGAAGAATCTATTACCACAGGATATATAATATATTTGATGCGTATGTTACCAAGTTTGGGTTATCAAATTGCCGACTATTTCCACCTTGGTATAATCATATTAAACGTACCTAACATAAAACTTAAGTCTATATCCTGTTGGAAATATAAAGCAGCGAGTGATATATCAGATTATGAGGATTTCTCAAGGTGGATGTTGACGTCTCATACAAGAATTTTATGCGTCTGATCGAAGGTAATATAGCTGATGATCCAAGTAAGTTCTGGGCCTTTGTGGGCTCTAGGATTGGATCGACTGTGTAGCATGTGAAACGGTACTGTTAGTAATTGTTCCTTTTTCTTTCAAATATAATTTTATAAGTTAGATTATCACCTTTCATGTTGACAGTCTGTTGACTAGCATTAAAAAAAAGTTTCTGCTGCTAATAATATTAGCAATTATTAAACTAGAGGGCACGATTTTCGTTTAAGTTTGAACTACCAGTTTAGTACCAACACTTTCCGTTTGCTA